AACTCTTGGTTAATTTCTTTATCTGTTTTATTATCATTGTCAGTTTTAATCTGTATTGTTATGTTGTCTGCTTATTAGCTTAACCTTTTTATTAACTATTATATACGCAAACTATATCTTTTGTTGTCATAAGTAAAATTCATTCTTTTTTGTAAGTGAAACTTGTCATTTCTTTCCTTTCCAACATCACCTTCTCGATCCCAAACCAAAAAGCCCAGTGGCTAATAAAGTTGCAGTGCTCAGTCAGTCTGCAACTAAATTGATATACTCACAGTGCCCAGCTGGCCTGTGACAAGAGAGGCAGGTGGGTTTAGCAGATGGGGATCAGCAGGAGTAGGCAGGGTCCACACCAGAGACTGGGGGATCAGGGAGCTAGCGGAGTCTGCAGGGGGAGGAGGGTTCATAGAGTCCAGGAAAGTTTGGTGGGATCAGGGGGCTCACAGAAGTCTGAAGGTGGGTTTGGGGGGATTGTGGGCTCTCTTTCCCAACCCTGCAGGACCAAGGGCTAATTTTAGCCCTCCACCCCTCAGACAAACCAACCCCTCTCCACTGGTGAACCAGTGGAGACCAACAAATGGTCATGTACAAGCATTCATTTCTAGCACTGGAAAATTTCCATCACTAAAAATGACTCTGGAAGAAGGAGTATTACAAGCATTAAGTCTGCATCCGCCACCTTTCCTCTGCTCCCTTCACCTTCCTGAGACCATGGTGATCCTAGTCTGGGGAGCAGCTGCTCCTCTCCTCCCATTCCTGGTGGGACTGGAACAGTGATGGCAAAGCCTCACTAGCTCCTTACACCAGAATCCCCAGTGTGAGGAGTGGGAAGTGTGCTTATGATGCTGTGGCCTCCATTCAGGTCTCAGTACCCAGAAGCCAAGAGGATGGTACAGTGTAGATGCTCCCCGTTTCCACACCAACACCTTGTGCAGACTAGGATAACCTTGGTTTCTGAAAAGAATGGGAACTTTTCCTCAAGGTTCTACACTTCCTTGCTCATTGGAGCAGTTAAGCTGCAGGGAGCACACAAATGTTAGTTTTCCTGGGAGCAATCATCCTGGGAGCAACTTCAACCAGGCTGGAGTTGGGTTATTTTTCTCCCAGAAACAATGTTCTTGGTTTGAGGGAAGTGGCATGAATGCTTGTGTACTTGTGGTTTCTACCAGGAGAACAGCAATTCTCTCAGTAGAGATGCAACACTTCTGCACGGCCAATATCTTGAAAAAGAAAGGTGTAATGGTTAGTGACAGAAAAGCAAATACAAGGATGTGGGCTCTAATCCTGCGTTTTCTAATGACCTGGTTTTTCTAATCAGGGAGAATTACCTAACGCTTGTCCCTAATAATATTTCCACAGGTGCCAACACTGTGGATGTTCCAGGGCACAAGCACCCACCAAAAAAAATCAGCAGAAGCTCAGCACCCAAAAGTCATGCTTGCAGACATTAAAAATAAACAAACAAAAAACTATGCTTTATCAGAAGTAGCAGCATGTTACTTCAACATGGCTCTGCAGTGCCTGTAAAGATTGGCAGGGCTTCAGCAGGGCTTTTTGGCACTTTTAGCTAAAGCTGATTCAACCAGGTATTAGATAAAAGCGCCAAAAGAGCCCCACTGAAGTGCCCGATATTTACAGATGCTGGAGAGCTGGGTGGAAGTAATGTACTGCCTCTTTTGTTCATGAACAGGGCTTGGCACAGGAACACACTCAGTTTAATATAAAGAGCTGTTTTTGTTTGTTTGTTTTTTTTAACATCCGCAAGCACCCTCAGGCAAAAATCAAAGTCAGCACCTATGAATACTTCCATATCTTTCAGGGACTCTTATAAGTCTAAATTTATTAACAATATTAAAGTAACCTTTACCTCCTTGGATGGAAGATCTTCTACAAGATCTAAAGATAAGCTACATTTTTCTCATAGAATCAGCAGTATGCTTTACTTCATGCCATCGCTAGCTACCAGTGTGCATCTTTAAAAAGGTAATTCAGTATATTTTCTCCATGCAAAGAAAATGTTAAGAGGCTAGCATTTATCACTGAGATATACCAAGAAGTATATAGAAGTATGTCCAGATTCTCAAATATGTTAGATTAAATTCAAGTCCAGCACCAATTTGCCTTAAATTGGCTGCAAATATAATGGTGCAAAAGCAGAATTAATAGCAAATCCCCATTCACTATCTTCTGGTTCACAAATGCTCTTCAATATGTGTAGTCATTTTTACTTTGGCAAAATAAATGTAAAATAAGATGTCACTCTGTTTGGATAAGGGTTAAATCCAATCCACACAAGTGTAAGTGACTAAAGGAAGGGAAAGGCAGTGATGAAATGAGGCAGCTTGACTGTTAGAAATCAAGAACACAGACATTATACCTTGCAATTCTCTTCCTGATGACCCCTACACACGCATAAGCAGGACAAGAAAAAGAGGAGATCGTGAGTTTGGTTTCATGCAGTGTTCCCCAAACTTCTAAAAAGTTGATATCTCTGGAAAATGAAATTAATCATACCCCTCTTTTCAACCCTACCATGTTAGTAGAATATTATAGGAAGAAGGAACAAGAAGGAAAGTGCAGAGTGAATTACAATGCAGTATTTCTATTCCTTGGCCTTGACCCTTTTTCCCCATGCTCATCATGAAGGCAGCCTTCCTTCACACACCAAAGGCAAATTATAAGCCTGTTTCATGTAGAATTTGCTCAAAATATGCAATCCATGTCTTGCATTGTAAGTGTTACATATGCTTTACAGAGATCATTTCATCACCTGTGAAATGTGGTCACATCTGAATGAAACATTATAAGCTTTCTGTGCCAGAAAAACGGCATGACTTTTCAGCCAGGATAACATTCCAATTGTCATTGAAAGGAGATCTCAGGCAAACTGAAAATGGAATACAGGAAGGCAAGAAGACAGGGAAGAGTTTTGCTTCAGGAGCTAGCATGGACAAAATACTGTCTAAATTAAAATAAAACCATCTTGCATTATTTAAATCATGCCAGAAATAAAAGTCAAGATGATTATACAGGGAAATATTTTTTTCCAAAACCGTATCGATTTCGCTATAGTAAGTTGACTAATGCAGCACGTAGAGGAGGACTGCAACAGGATCACAGGTGGTTGCACAAGGGATGAAGTGATGCAAGGGCCTTTACCATCAGGCATGCTTTGCATTCTGGTGTACAGGAACCCAATGTGAACACTGCTGAGGTAGAGCAGGGACTGCAGGGATTACTTACAAAATGAGACTGTTTCATCAGAGGACTACAGGATGCTACAGGAACAGGAATACACCAGCCACAGGGAAAGCCCATATGAAGCTTTAAAAACTACTTTTTAAACTGAAATGTACATATGATCACTGCTGTTGACCCAAAATAAAATTCAAACTGAATACAGTTTTTAAGATGGTATCCATGTCATAGTGGTCACCCTTTAAATCACTTACAAGAGATCACCTAATGGTTATTATGAAACTGTTTTGTCTAAAGAACATACTTTAATCACAAAAATGCCTTAAAGAGAAAAACCAAATTTTTCCAGACCTAAAAGGAATCAAATGTACTGTATTTTTGATCCAGCAAGACGCAAATTGTGGTTACAGGTAACATAACAGGTTTTGTTTCCTATAAGTCCGGAGTCCAGTGGGGATGTGGAGTGGCACTATGCACCAGGCAGGCACTGCTGCTGCTATGCACAAGCAAGGCAGGCAAACTGCAGCAGGCACCACTCCATTCCAGTCCGCCCATCTTGCTTGCACACAGCAGCAGCTGTGCCTGCCCAGCGCACCATGCCGCTCCGCATCCCTGCTGGCCTCTGGTCTTGGACTTTTGACCAGCCGGCCGAGACCAGACTACAGAAGCCAAGGCTCTCAGTTTGCCCACGACATACAGTCACCCTACTCATAAGGCAGGGCATTTGAGAGCCACTTAAAGTGATGTTATCATAATGACCTTGAGACATGGGGAAAATTGGCAAATAAAAATACTTTTAAACTGGAAATAAAAATACTGTTTCTAACCAAAAGAGTGTGGTTTTGGAGAAACCTTCCAGAAAGAGCAAGGGTTCAAAATACTTAATGAGTTTTAAGACTGAACTTCAGAAGTATATGAAAAAGGAATACATGATATGTTGACCTACAACAGCAGGGGGGAGGGCAGTTCAATGATCCAGGAGGTCCCTTCCAGTCCTATGTAACTATACAGAGACTTTTCCTTTTATGCAATTGGCCTGAGTCCATGCTCAAATAAGACTCGAACAAATTAGTCTTAAGAGACAAGTAAATGGTTAAAAGAGTATTAATCCTGACACATTCTAAAACAAACAGTTTAAGTGCAATAGCAGTTCAGTGTGGATAGGTTTTATTTGTTGGGATAAGACATCTATTTCTTAACCCAACAATCTATAACCTTTCATAACCATTAGATTTCCAGAAATATCAAGGGATGGTAACAGAACTGTTCTAGACTCATTCAGAGCATATAACTTGGGGTACTGACTTTGTCTTTCTATAGGACCCCCAATAATGGAAGTCTCATGTTACTTAAATATTACTAGTGCTACTGCTAACTTTGTTCCCTGGCTCAGAATTTATATGGCTAATTTCTATCTAGAACAAATTTAAATGATCGTTACCGTACAAAACTCTCAAAAAGGGATAACATACTGAAAAAGTAGCTAGTACTTAATAAATAATTAAATAAATGTTTTCACCTTATAATTTTCACCTCTTAAAAAATAATTATCAAAAGGGAAATAAAACTGCAGGACTTGATTATGCAAAGCATGCCAGGAATGTTTTAACTGAAAGTCATGCATTTCCTAAACTATGTAACGTTAACAGGAAAATAACCTTTTTCCCCCCAAGAGACATACTGAAATCCCCAGAGAACTTAAAATTATTTGGAACCAAAAGTATTGAAATAATATACTAAATATATAAAGAAAAAACCTGAAGTTCATAGCTGTTTGGCACAAGTACTGTACCTGTGCCCTTGCCTGAACTTCCCCAAGGAGTCCAGAGTACTGCTGCTCCAACTCCTTTTTCTGTCTCTGCCAACAGCTTTCTTGTGCTTTCATCTGTTCAGCCATTTTGTTAAAAGTGTCTTCCTGTGTCTGCTGAAGCTCCTTCATGGTATCAGACTTATTCTTACAAATATATTCTAGATGAGTTATCTGCATGAGAGAGATTAAAAAAAAAACACTTCTCAAACAAAAATGCCCTTTTACATTCATTTTAAATCCTAATTTAAGCACAAAATCTTTTTGGCCTAAGATCTTACTTCTTTTTCCAGATAGCTTAGTAAAAATTTAAAAAGCTATACATATCACTAGTCTCTTGCTTCAAATCTCTCTTTAAAACCTAATTCTTCACAAGAAATCCAGCTTACGCTGATCTCATCAATATAATCCTCTCTAGAACCTTCCTAAGCAGAGAGACTGTCTTATTTGTTTTAAAAAGTTGGTAATGAAATTATATTATTGTTATATAATTAATAAGCGCCGTGCAATAATAATATGGCATGTTAAATTATAATGAAAGTCAGAGTTTACATTTTTATATCACATTTTATTTGAAAACCAAAGTATTCTTCACATTTGCTGAGTACTAAAACAATTTAAGAGAGCTTTAGAGTTGCCTCTTTTCCCAGACAAGCTGTTAATTTTATGGTGCATTTCAATGTGCAATTTAAGAGCTATACTCAGTGGTCAGGGCTTTAGCCCTGCAATTTCCACTAAAGCTAAATGGAGTTATGCATCAAATAAAAGAACATATTTCCATATTTTTCCAATACACTATCTAAAGATATGGTCACTATTTCTTTCAATGTATAACACAAAACTACACAAGAAAGTCTGTTCTACACAATTATAATGCCACTCATAATACTGTTGGAAAAATTCTAAGCTGATAAACATGAAGTATCATAAAACTCTGGCTGTCCAATCCCAAAAACTGCACTTAATACCCTGTTTAACTCCCCTCCCCCCACACAAACTACAAGTAATTTTCATTTAGTTTTTTTCCCTTCTGAGAAGACAAAGGAAGCATTTCCTCTGCCTCCAGCCTGCATTATCTACAACTGTTACCAACCAAACCCCTTTAGTACTTTCCATTGACTGCTGGGATATTTACTAATAGGGGCAGAGCCAAAATGATTAGCTGTAAGCAACCCTGTTCCTGAACTTGAGCCAAGAGAGCATTCATAACTCTAGCAGATGAGAAACTTATGAAATAGTTTTTCCCTTCCTATCCCCCAAGAGTATGTCAGTGCAGCCAAGATCTGGAATCTTTCTGCTAGACCACAGGAACACAGAGCTGATCTGATCAATGGAGCCAGAACATGAACAGAGATCCTAAGGAGTGGCATGTGTTAGTCTGCTGAGCCAGTTTAAGTTATTGGGAAAAAACAGGTTTAACAAATGTGTTTCTTTTGGACAGACTTAGCTTTATGAAATATTAAGGCATCCATAAAAGTATACCATTCCCCCTTGAACAAATATTTATATTTTTAAATACATAATGGTTCCTAGAAATGCACTCTGTTATATTCTAGAATACAAATGCCCTAACCAAATTAATAAAATTAAAAAAAAAAGGAGGGGGGGGGGAAGGTGTTCCGAATATCTCTGGCTCTCAAGCAAATATTTTTTAAATGATGTTCTGGGGGTAACTGTATTTTGTTTCTGTCTTCTGCTAAAATAAAGAGTTGGTTTATTAGTGTAAATGACTAAGTTCTTTGAATTGCTTCATCAGTAAGATTAATTTATTTTCTTTTAATTAGGTCCCTATGGCTAATACTGGCTAGTAGCATTAGCATGTCCTGCACAGAAAGTGGAGCTTAGAGACTTCATACAGACTTCAGTCACATTTACATGCCCACAGCAATGGCATCAAACTGAGTTGTAGACAAGCCATAATTAATGGTACTGAATTATTAACATCCAAACTCTTTTTGAAATAAGATGAATGTCAGTCCCTTTTAATGATACTGTGATGTGGACAAATGTCACTGAATTTAATAGAGGTATCTGGTGCCTAAGGACAGTTACCTTCTCATTAGCCCTGTTGAGGTCTAAGATCAGGGCATCAACATTCTCCTGCAAGACTGCACAAAGCTCAGGCCAGGAGAATTTATCCAGCATGCCTCCTGGTTGTTTTATAAGCACACAGCCTGCTACCAAATGTTGATATAGAGTGTGAAGGAAGGTTAGCTTCTCCTGTGAGACAAAAAAAAGAAAAGATTAACTGATGTATATAAATATTGTTAGAATCGAAAAACGAAATAATCAGACATACAATTGTGTATGAAATACACAGACCTTAAATTCACTTATTTTGAAATTTTATTTCTATTTCAATAGGACTGCTCTCACAATGTGCTAAAAACTATTAAAATCATAATGTAGGGGGGGGGAAAACAGTTTAAAGCTAACTTAATTAGATACATTATATAAAATACATAGGGTCCAATCTTGCAGTCTTCATTATACTCCTCAAGCTATGTCCTTTTTGCTTAAGCTGTGATAAACTAAGCATGATAATCATTTGTTTGGTATGAAAAAGGATACCAGGGATACCAAGATCCAGAATCAATTCACACATGTTGAACCCAACCACAAAGCTTGTAGACATGCTGAATTTACAATACACCACTTGCTACAGTATACACTATAACCTGTACTATGAACACTTGTTTTTTTCTGATCTGAAATTCTGTATTATACCAGCTTCCAATATTTAAGCATAACTAAACATACAGAAGGTGAGGTGTAATTTTGTAATTACTAATTACTAAAAAAAAGTTAATTGGCATGGCAGCATAAAATTTGTTCGTACAAACATCAGAATTATACTATCAGAACTATAAGACTATGAGACCTTAAGAAACAGTCTTCACAGACTGATTCTGACCAAACACGCGTTCAATAGGCTTTTAAAATCATCAATTCAAACCAAAACCTTGATTCTGATCTCACAATGCTTTCATACTACAATCTACTGACTGACTTACTCAAGTTAATCCTTAACAACTTTAAGTCAACAATCAAAGATGGTTTCAAAACCCAAACTAGGGCCTTTATTCAAGAGTCCATTGAACCAAGTGAAAGGCCCTATCATGTTCAATGGAAGTGGAACAAATCTCAAGTCAAGAAACTGCAAGAGATGTTGCAAAGTTCTGACAAAATTTTGGGCTTTTTCAATTATGTATAGGTGTACTTTGTGTCTTGTCTCTTGAATGACTTTAAGCAACGAGTCATGAACAAAAATGCTACCAACTAATTTTTTTTTTGCCAGGGATAATTCAATATGTCGCCATTGTGACCTTCTTGCTTGGGCTGTGATAAACCAAGCATGATAATGATCCATTTGGCATGAAAAAAATCCCAAGACAAAATCAGTTCACACATGTTAAACCCAACCACAATGCTGTAGACATGCTGACTTTACAGTACAGTCAGGATTCTAGTTTCCTTTGCTTTAATCACTATCTGATGTGTATAACAATTCCAACTGCTTCATGTGGACACAATTTAAATCCCAGACTGTAAAGGGGGTGGAAAGAATGTTTCCTTTTTACTTAGTTGGCATTCAAGTTCAGATTTGCTGGAATAATGAGCTCAATATGCAGGACAACTGTGATAAAGAACATGGTTGATTATTGCTAATGCAGAACTACTTTACTGGAGAAAATTAAAGCAGGAAAACTATATTAAGATCAGTAAAGAATGAGAGAAGGCAGGTAGATTTTGAAATAAAACCCCACAAAGCAATTACCACATACAGTATGACACTATCAGCTAACATACAAACAACAGGTAACTAGTTCTGTAATGGGCAGGCAAAATTATCTTAATACCATATTTGTTATTGTCTTGGTTGCTCCTGGAATCAGTAATTAGTTATTAGCTATGGGATTATAATGCTGAACACATCTTCCAAATGCAAAAATGTATATTTACTTTCCACTAAGATTTACAAAAAGAACTGACCCCAGGCCTGATTTTTTTAAATAAATGCATTTGCCCTAAACTTTTTTTCTTGTTTAAGATATAGACCATAAGGGTTAAACTGTTACCTGATTTATAAAATGAAACTCAAGAGAAATGTGATGCTTGAAAAATGTGTAGATACTAAATACATATTTCAAAATATGTATCTTAAAATCATATATTGGGGATAAATCTGTTAAGACTAAAAGCAACCATCTGAGGTATGTAAATGTATAAAACTAAGATTAAATAAAGGCTCCTTTTGACAGTCATCTTGTCTCTGGTAATACCTCTGTATCCTTCTGGTAAGCCCTGGTAAGCTTCTGGATTTCGTTTTCAGAATCTGTGGCACGCACTTTCTCTTTCTCCCAGCAGTGCAGTACATTCTGTAGTTCCATTTTTAAAGTGCCTATTAAAGACTCTCTGTCTGCACACTTAGTGCGCAAATGATTTAACTCTTTATTGGCATCAGTCAGGTTATTCCAAGCTTCCTAAAGAAGATAGATACAAACAGAAAGGTTTATAACAACTTTATCTTATGTTACCTCAATCAGTAATCTTGGAAAGAAATATCTATACTGACATCTAAAATAAACCATCTACTCTTTTTGAACATAGAATGAAATGCCAAATTTGATAACCACTTCCTTTACAGTTAGGAAGTAGAGTGGAGCAGAGTAGAAAGCAGATCCTATAAAATTATTCATTTTCTTTTTACTCCCTCACCAAGGCCAAAGAGTCCTTCCTTCTGACACTCACAACTGGGCTTTCCCCACCCTTACAGGGGGCTTAGATCCTTTCAGTTGAAAATTCAAATATGAAGTAAGCAAGTCAGCTTCTAGGGACAGTCAGGAACTGGACTGCCTTAAGGACTGGTGAAAGAACCTTTTCCTTTTCACCTAGGCTAGGGACAGATATTACACACAAACTGCTTTAAGTGATTAGAAACAGGTTTCAATTTGTAACAGAACAGATGTTCAGTGCACATAATCCAGTTTCAAAATGGCCAAAACTGATTTAACCAATTGAGCTCAAACCAGTTTATGCAATGTCTGTCCCAGACCCCTTCCTGGTTTAAGTCAAACTACAGTCCTCCAGCATCCCAGCATGCTTTCTGGGCTGTGCTCTCTGTTCCAGAGAGCAGGGCTGGCCCCACCCTTCTGCTCCCTAGCCCAAGAAAGGACAGGATGTGGCACGACACTGGCCAGCATGGCCCCATTAAGGCAAAGTGGACAGGGAGAGGGGTTAATGCTTCCCTCTTTCCCCTCTGCAGCGAGGGTCTGCGTGTCTGCCAGGAAGCGGGGGGCGGGGTGCAACAGTGGGCCCTGAGGCTGGCAGGCCCCAGCTGCAGGGCAGAAGGGACGGAGGGAGGAATTAACCCTTCTCCCTTCACCTTAATGAGGCCTTATGCCGGGACAGCATCTGGCCACATCCCCACCAGTGGAGCAGTAAGGGGATAGGAAGGGACACAAGTACCCTGTAGATGTCAGAGTGCCTAGGAGAGGGTTTATTCCCCCTCCCTCCCTTCTCTGTCCCACTGGCAAGGACCATAACCCTTCTGACATGGCCCCATTAAGACTAAGGGGGAAGAGAAGGGATTAATTCCCCCCACATTGGGGGGACTGCAGTTGGGGCAGCGTAGGGCTTTGCAAAGCTTCAAGTGGCTTTTCGATTCGGAGGAGATTCGGCTCAATTCGGTGGCTGAATCTCCGAATCCAAATTGAATCAGGGGACCAATTTAAAGGTCTGAATCAGTTTAAAGCTCTCCAAATCTTCGGCAAAGAGTCAGAGAGCTTTGATGATTCGGACAGTCCCTGGTGGCTGCAGCAAGGAGCTGGAGACACTCCAGGCTGGTAAGTACTAGGGGCAAGGGAGGGAGGGCTGGGGGAGGGGACCATGGGGGGACCCCTGCCAGCCCCCCCAACCCTGGAACTTCTGTTCCATGCTGAGGGGGGGTACTCTTACCACTCCTCCCCCTCTTCCCCCCAGAGTGTGTGTGTGGGGGCTCTGTGTGGCACTGAAGGGGGTTCCTCTTCCCCCTCCCCACCATCACTGGGGGGCTGACTCTGGTGGGGGGGACTCTTTCCCCTGCTCCTCTCCCTGCCCCCCACACTGGGAGCCTGCTACCCAACCAGCCACCAGCTGCGCACACCAGGCCTGGCTGTGCTTGCTGACAGAGTTCAGGCTCCCCATCACTGAGCTGCAGTGGCTTGGGGTGGCCCCAGCCCCACCATGCAGCTGCCTTGGCCAGCCCAGGCCATATGAATGGGGCCACCCAGCAGCTGCGGCTCAGTTACAGCTGCTCCCTACACTCCAGCTGGCCAAAGCCAGGCAGAGCCACACAGAGTCCCCTTCCCAGCCCTGTAGTGGTGAAGCAGGGGGAAGAGTCCCCCCCAGCATTGAACAGAGCCCCTCTCTCTGCCCCCCATGGTCAGGGCCAGGCAGCCTTGCACAGAGCCCTCCTGCCCACCCTGCAGTGCCAGGGGAAGAGCAAAGGAAAGAGTCCCCCTCCAGGGTCAGGCCAGGCAGCCCTGCACAGAGCCCCCCTCCCCACCCCATGGGGACTGTAGGGGGGGGAGCAGGAAGGGGAAGAGTTCCCCCACAGCACCAAAAAGAGCCCCCCTCCCTGCCCCATGGCACTGGGGGGATGGAGGACGGGAACAGTTCCCTTCTGGTGCCAGGCAGCACTGCATGCCTGGTTTGCTCCCAGCTGTCAGGGAGCCACTGGAGTAGACAGAGTTCTTCCTGCCCCTCCTCCCCCACCACAGCAGTTTGGCCATGCTTCCTCTTCCCCCACCCTCTGAACCCTGCAGGCC